TTTTTTGTTATCTTTGTTTGTTGAATTTTGGATTAGTTAAAAAATTTATATTAAACCCAACATGCTTCCGTAAAACTAAACAACTTCATAATCTTGTAACTTTCTCTGACCGAGATGGCTCTGCGAGAGATGGGTTGCAACACCACCAGTTGGAAATTTATTGCCCCTATTCGTTTTTGAAAACGACTCATCACCGTTCAACGTCAACCGATCTGGGAAGATGAACAACATCCAACTCCTTCAGATACCACTCAACATACCCTTAGTTCGTTTCTTACTCCAGGCATACAAGGACTCAATTATGGAGACAAATGACAATTATGACAAACATATTGTGAAGCAAAAACCTCACTTTTATTAAGAACTCAAAGAGAATTTATTAGATAAGTAAACTCCTTAAGGGAGAAGAAAATTTTTTAGTCTTCATAATGGAGGCCAACATTCATACACACATAAACTTGTAGAGACAAAATGATTACAACTTATTTCACTCACAACTCACAAACTTGGAAAGAGAGGTTACACACAACTCGCAAACTTATTACAAATATTTGCAGAATGAGAAATCTGAAGGGAATGTATGATGCCTTCTACTTTCTCCAAATCGTGTTTATATAAAGGTCGGAGATCCCACTATTATTGCTTCCACCGACGATTGAGTGGAAGATACCTGTTTCACATGTTCTTTGGCCCAAACTGACTGAACCATTGTATCAAATTTTAAATAAGTTTTTCTTCACATGTTTGTTGTCCCCAATGTCCGAAATGGCTGACTCTGATTTTCCATCTTTATCTTGTGTGAACGAGTTTTCTTGCTCCACCATTTTCAAGTGGATGTCGTACTTTTTTCTTATTTTTTTTGGAAAAATTTAGAGTATTTTTGTTAATTCCCCTATTCCTTGGGTTTTTTCATGGTACAAATTTATCTTTCTTTACTAAAACGCCTTTACCGAATAATGGTTTTTGTTGATACTCACAGCTTGTACATAGTCGTTTGTTCCATCTTCCAACATGTACCATATTACACGCTTTACGCTATGTGTTCGCGGTAGTTAGCAATTTGTTTTCCCATAAGAGTTTCCTCTTATTCTCGAAAATTCTGTTAGCGAACTTAGAAGTCATCCCTGTCAAGGTGTTTAAGTAGAATGTTCAACTGAGAGACTTTTGTTATTTTTAAAGGCCAATTGGCAGGAAAATACACCAGTCGATTAGCCATTTAATCACCACTTTTAGACCTTGACAATTTAATACATTACCTTTGGTTTCTTAGCAACCCGATACACGGATTTAACAGCCGTCAACGGAAAGCTGACGTGGCAATTTTTTTTAACTGTCACGTCACCAAGAAGTATGACTCAGCAAATAGGAGCCAAATTATCATTTAAAACTTGTTAGTTTAATACACCATCTTTGGTTTTTTGGTAACCCGGTACATGAACTTAACCTTTGTCGGCAAAAAGCTATCACATCAGCATTGCTCAATTATTATTTATTTATATAACAATAAATAATAAAATAAATACTAAATATAGTTATTGTTGGTTGTTTTCTGGTTTAGGGGCAGGATGTCTTCACTAGGATTTGAGGCAGTGGTGAAGCTCCTGCCCTTTTGTTGTTTGTTGGTTGCATTGCTTCTTTGAGGTTTTAGACCATCATGTCGATGTTTCTCCCAATTTATGTTTTAGTTTCTGTAGATTCCCTTGTATTCGAACTTTGTTCACGTTTGAGATTATACAACATTCTCTATCTTTTTTGAAAATAAAAATATAATTAAAAAATATAATAATTTATTTAGTTTTAGTTCATAATTTAATATATTAAATAAAATAAAATTTAATATATTTATTTGTTTAGTAAATATCTATTTAATACAGAAATTAAAATTGTTTGAAACTAAATAAGGTAAAGTAGTACAAAGAACAACACAAATGATAATAAAAGTCAAATAAAATAAGGTAATTATAAACATAATTGCAATAAAATAAAATTAGGTAAATGTATTCCAAATAGACAGCATAATGTAAAAAGAAATAGTAAGAAAAATTTAATACATATTATATATTTATTTGGTTAAATTTACTAATTTTTATATCGTAATTAATACACATTTAATAAATAAATTAAGAATAAATTTTATAAATAAAAGTGGTATAATAATTCATTTTATACCACTTTTAATTATAAAAATCATGCATAATTTACGTATTAAAGATGAATTAGTTACAAAATAAAGAAATGGCAAATTAAATAAATATAAAAATAATAATATATTCTGTAATATATTTATTTACGTAATTTTATTAATATATACATATTATTTAATTTATATTATTTAATATATTTAATATACTTTTATTTAGTATATTTGTAATACATTAACTAATATATTTATTTATTTAAATATATTATATATTTAAAATATATAATATTTTGTTATTTAATTTATTTTTATTTATTTAATTTATATATAATTTAATTTATTTAGTTATATAATTTAATTATTTATATAATTTATTTATTTATTTACTTTATTTAATATATTTATTTATTTTAGTAAATATAATATTTAATATATTTTTAATAAATTATTTAATATATATATATTTAATATCTTGTAATACATTATTTATTATATCTATTTATCTAAATATATTATATATATTTAATATATACAAAATTTTGTTATTTAATATATTTATTTATTTAGTATACAAATAAAATTTAATCAAAATTAAATAAAGTAAATCAGTATAAAAAAGCGTAAATGATAATAAAAGTTAAATAAAACTAGGTAATTTAATTAGTATAATTAAATTATGTAAAAGTTTTATAATTAAAAGTGGTAGTAAATAAAATTTCAATTTCTTTTAATTAGAAATTTTGACCATAATTTATTTATTAAATATGAATTAACAACAAAATAAAAATAAGTAATTTAAATAAATAAATAACTAAATAATATTATATTATTTAATTACCCTGTTTTATTTAAATTTCATTATTATTTAACATACTTAATTGAATAAATATATTAATATTATATATACATATATATATTAAATAATGTAGTATTATTTATCTATTTATTTAATTTAGAAATTTTAATTTTGTAATTATTACATAGTTAATAAATAAATTATGTATAAATTTTACAATTAGAAGTTAGTAGAGTTATTGTTGTTATTATTATTATTATTATTATATTATTATTATTATTATTATTATTTTTAAATTGAGCAATGCTGATGTGGCAGCTTTTTGCAAACAAAGGTTAAGTTCGTGTATCGAGTTGTCAAAAAATCAAATGTGGTGTATTAAGCTGTCAAGGTTTAAATGCTGATTTGGCTCCTGTTTGTAGTATAGGCTAGGTTTAAGGCCCAACTTAGGTCTATGTATCTATATATTTGTGTACTCATCTTTGTGAATAATATACCAGATATTTTTTTCACTTTCTTACATATGCAATCAAATCGTTATGTATTATTTATTTTAACCAATAATCAAATTTTAAAACATAATAGCAGTATCTAATTTATAATTTTAATGTATATGCATAAATATAATTTATAATACTCTACGTTTAAAATATAATACCATTATATAACTTGTAATTTTAATATTATATGTACACAAATAACTCATAATATTTTATTTATATATATGCAAATGCACATAGTCGAATATTAGTTAGTTATAAGTGTGTACACACGTTCAACAATGCTTCGTCGCGCCTGTTTTGTTTCAGAAGTCAACTAGTTGCTACTGTTTCCGGTTTGAAATTTCAAAACCGGAGTACGATAAATTAATTTAGCCCCCATTGAAGTCAAATTATATTTTTCTTCTGTACGAAGTACGATAAATTAGTCTTTTCTTTTATGAGGAAAACAGTACTCATTTTTTATTGATTGTAATTATTCATCATTTGTTAACACGTCTTTGTTTGTAGTCAAAGTAAACGTTGTCCAACACTTGGAAGCATGGATAAACTTGGCTTACGGGTTAAGTAGACTTTGTTCCTTGCATTGTGGTTGGTGAGGTATCTTTTGGAAGAGCAAATGGGTCGCTTTCATGACCAGTAGTTACAGATTAATTAGTTAGTTTAACATAGTTTAATTAATGGTCTCGTTATATTAAATATACTTCATCATTTTATATTTCGGTTTATATTATCTGTTAATTATATTTCTTGTAAGAGATAGGACGGATAAGGATGCTTTTTGTACATGTAACATCTTAATTGGGCCCGTCTTTTTGGACACTCCAACAAAGACCACAAAGGATATGAAGGTAAATTCTCTCCGATGGGAGCTCAAATTCTCTTCCATGAGAGTGTTGATTCTCTGTGATTAGGGCTTTTATCCTTTGCTTTTCCTTGCATCTGCTGATTTACTCTCCTCTTTATTTTTATCTTTCTATTTTCACTGTTTCTTTTCCCTTTTAGTCTTTTCTATTTCTATTTTCCTTATTTATTTTCCCTTTTAGTCTTTTTCCTAGACAACAATATATATTCTGAACAGGCGATTCTTTCTAAATCAATACCATTTACACCATTAGAGTTGTGGTCTGGGCACAAACCCAGGCTAAGACATCTCCGTATATAGGATAGTCCAGCACATGTGCTGCGAACGGATACTGAAAAGTTGAAACCTATAGAACAGAAGTAAGGCTGCTTGTGGGATACTGTAAGGAAACGAAAGATAGTCTATTATAGTCCTGAGGACCAAAAAGTGATCGTTAGTACGAGTACTAGGTTCTTGGAAGAAGTCTATGTTATGAAACATAAGCCCAATAGTAGACATATCCTAGTGGAAATAAAAGGGGTAAATACTTCAACATGAGTGCACCTAATGTTACACCACAAAATACTGCAATATGTATCACCGACGACGCACCTGAGCTAGTAGTACCTCGTCATAATGGGAGAGTTGTCAGGCAGCCCGAGCGATTTATGTTTCTCGAAGAGTCTTCAGAGACCGTCCCAATTACTTTCATTGGTCGAACTGGTCCTAACTCCTTGGTAGCGGTTGATCACCCTTCATCGCCAGTCGGTTGATTCGTCTCGATCGCGTCTCAAAAATAGGCCAGGATGTCATTGATGAAGACCATGACAACCGATCCGGGTATGAATGGAATATTCAGTCCGAATGGCATAACCACAACCGAAAGAACGATATAAGACAAACGAAAAAATGAAAGTACTCGTCTTAATTAATACACAATGTTGCAAAACTTGCACTCGAAACTCCAAACGAACTAATAACAAAAACAAGAGTTTTTCAAAGGATTGCAAAAGTCCAAGAAAAACAAAGGATTACTCCCGAAACTCCGAAGGAAATAAAAGAACGAGATTTTTCAAAGATTGCGATGAACAAAATTCAAGAATGAAGACGGCTCTATACCTCACGATGGTTTGCACCTGGCTTGACTACCCTCCTTAAAAGAACATTCCTAATCCTCAACACGTGGGCACCATTCTCGGCTTGAAACACGGAAAATAAATTATGTCGCCTCCTTTCAGGTTGAAGTGTCGCCTCGCAGTCATGGCATAGAATATTCACGTGGTGTCGGATTGGCCTATCCGCCCTAAGAATAATGTCGAATTTCTTTGTTCGAGAATTTCGCAAAAGAAATGACAACTATCTCCTTTCTCGAGTCTTAGCGACCCTCGAGAGTCGCGATAGTGTTTCGCCTCAGATTTCCCCACAACTTCTTTGGGTCGAACAACAACACGAACATGGCACTTAGACTTCACTCCCGTTTCTAATTGGCTGGGTTCTAACACTCATCGGATGATCCTATCATCAAGGGTTCCAGATATTCGAATAATCCCATACACTAGGGTCTTTTTCGGTCCCTAAACCCTTCTCTTTCGAGATGGCTTGCGAATGGTCCTCACTCGAGGACACTAAAAAGAACTTAATGCGAGAGAATTGCTATAGACAGAATTTAACTCGATAACATCATACCGAAATGCTCAACCAAGAACTTCTAAAAACAGAACTTAACTCTATACCACTAGAGTTCAAGTCCATATACACGGAGGGTGAATTCCTAACCCCAAAATCTAGAGTCCGTACAGGTAGATAGCCCAAAATTTAAATTACTACATACCTTAAGCTGGCGTTGCACGACGAAGACGAGTGACCGTTTTTCACAACCTTCGAAAAATTTCCGAATATTCAAAATTCGAATATTTTAGCAGTCTACAAAAACGTAGACCCACTCTGACACCACACTGCAACGCCCTGATATTTTTAAAGAGATTTTCCAAATTTTTAACGAACAGAAAATCAATTTTTCAAAAATAATCAAGTTCTCGAGGAAAACATTTTTCAAGTAAATAAATAATTTATAGTTTATCAAAAATAAAAATCCATTTGAAAAACATTAATTGGGCATTACTCAAAACCATCTCATAATTACCTCATTTCCAAATCATTTCGTCATACTAAATCAAACATCATCATCATCATCATTATTCATGCCATATCTGAACATACAGAAATCATTATCCATTTTATCACTTATATCATTATCCAAATCATCCTACGATATCATTATCATTTATAACAACATAATCAACATTTTTTTTTCAACAACTCATCATCGTTCAAAAACATCAGTTTTCAATTATCACTATAAGATTCAAAGCATCCTCATGCTTGAAAAATTACCAAAACAAGTTCATCAATAAGCGGAAAAACATGAATAGTCGAATCATAAAACAATTTAAAGGCTCAACCACCACTCGTCTTCTATCGCCATGCTAGCCATCAACTCAACTTGAAAGAGGGGTTTCATGGGAGTGGGCACACCACTTGTTCACTGCTATGCACATAAATCAAGTAATAAGATTTTTTCACTGCTATGCACATAAATCAAGTAATAAGATATTGGTATGGTTGCAGCATGAACATGAATCAATCATAATATCACATCTCCTAATCATATAATACTCATGTGCACATCTATCACTAGCCACCGAAGGTCATATATCAATGGGAGTACATGCCGAAGTCTTACATCACACATCGACATGGCCTTTCATTAGGACTTAAGGAGACTGCCTGGTCATTAGGCACCGTCGAAGGTCATATAACGACAGGGATAACCGTTTCGATGGCCGAAAACAGCACACATCGACAGGTTACATGCTTCACACGCATACATTGCTCATACCGTTCAACAAATATAGACAATTTATGGCATATAAATTTAAATAAACCCACTGGGTCGGACGAACGGAAGAGATGCTAAGATCGAGCGGTAAACAAGAGGCTTCAATCCTCAGCTAACACGTTGCTTCCTTGACTCGGTTCGCCAATGACTCGAAGTTCCTCTTCTTTCGATTGCTCCGAACACTTCTCAAATGGTACTCTCTACTCTCCCATTCTTTGCCGAGGCGAGCAACAATCTCATACATGTTGATGGGCGGGGGTCCGAAAGATGCTCGGGTTCTTCCTCAGGTGATCCTCGCACATTCTTTCAACCACTGACTTCCATGGCGGGGGTAGGACTTGTATGAGTTTATCTACGCCATCATCATGAGAAAATTTCAAGGCCTTCCCCCGGTCGCATGGAGACCCAAAATTCGAGCACCTCCTGAACACTCCTAAAGTCGTGAGGTCGTGAAGGTTTGAAGTCCCAAAACTCTTTTCTTTTCTTCCGCCATTCCTCAAGTATTCGACGTACAAGGTCATCGATGTCCGAGCTCAACTCACTACTCGAACTAACCGGCTGCATCTCGGATGACGGGATCTCGAAATATTCCAAGGAAGGAGGTTCGGTTCTTCGGATGGAACCTGAAAACAAATCAAACGACCTCGGGCGGCTCACGCTCGGCCTTGGTTTACTATGTATGGTTGAACACGGTCGGGACCTCTCGCGGCGGTTCGCGGTCGCCACTCGACGAAGACGGACGGGTTGGCTTGCGAACGGATCCAGCATGCGGCTGCTGTCGGATGGCCACGAAAATGAGGGCTGGTCGACGATGGTGAACAACGTGTCAGGCACGCGGACGGAGCGACTAAAGCAAGGCAGTGCTGCTGTGGAAATTAGCTTGCATTACCGGCGATGGCATCACGCACAGCGGTAGGGACGATGGAGGAAATGGCTCACGACGGCGCTGCGGGTCTCGTTTACGTGAATGGTGGCGCCGGCGGAGAGGGCACGGTGGAGGGCTGCGGCGTTTCGGTGTGACGGAGGGTCGTCGCTGTTCGGTGGCGTTGTAGGCTGCCCGGGAATTGCCATGGGGGGAGGTTGTGATGACGGGGACCAGCCGACGACTCAACGGCTGGTTCGGGGTGGAGAAGTGTCACGTGATCGTACGACTGGGCTGAGGCGGTTCGGTGGTTCTAGGATCGCCGCCGGACTATCGCCGTGCACAATGGCGGTTTCGTCGTAGAAGGAGGCGGCGACGTGATTAAACAGAAGTGGGCGATGAAGGGAAAATATGTGGCGATGGATTTTTCGGAACGAGGGTCAGAAGTCGAGAGGAGCGAGCAGATTTCTTGTGCGATCAGATTTTTGGGTGTAGGCGTTTCTATCGTGATAGGGAAGAAGAGTTTTATTTCTCCCCAAGTTACTCAATCCCAACGTAAAATAAGAAGGAAAGAAATAAATCTATTGGGGAGTCCTTTAAGGGATAGGAAATTAGGAGATAATCATGCCAAAATAAAGAGATTTACTTGGCCTTAAGATAGTGTAAATTGGCTTTAAAAGGAAGGGGTTTTTGGGTGGATCAATCTCTACCAAAATCATCTTCTAATATTTGAATTTCAAACACAATGAAACTTGGTGAAGAAGAAATCTTGAGAGGGTCGGGTTTTTCTCTAAAACTCGGGCCGAAAGGAAATAAAATAAAATAAAATAGAAATCTAGCCGAGGATATGAGTACAATTTGGCCAAGTACAAATTTTGAGAAAATATCGAAACGGTCCGGAAGTCTAATCCACACGATTGAACGGCGAATATACGGTTGGTTCGACAAGATACATAAATCGAATAGCGACGAGCGAACAATCGATGATTGACGAGACATAAAAAATAAAAATAAAAATAAGAATATTTGAACAACGCATGCATGGACAAACTAAACGAAAGTCGGCGAACGAGTCCGTATCGGCAACAATGGCGAATGACTTATCATCGACGAAAATGATCGATAAAATCACTCATTAGACTAATTAGACGGAGCCATCAAATTTAATCGAAAAACTAGGATGAAATCTCGGGATTTGAAAATAACCTAAGTAGACGATAATGCCTACGGAAACGATCGACACGAAGGATCATTAAGACGAGCATTTCTAAAAAAAAAAATAATCCGCATGAGCTAGAACAAGGATTTTTGCCAAACGACGCGGAGGAGGAGAAAGCGGCAGTAGGTCTTTTGTTCGCGAGAAGGAGAAAGGAGAAAGCGCGTGAAGTTAGGCCGCGTGTTAAGATTGTAAATTTTCTTTTTCAAAAATTTTATGTGTGTTTGTATTTATGTTTCTATTATGAGAGGCTAAAAGTAATTTCTCACCTTAAAGAAGATTACTTATCAAATAAATTGTTTTTAAGCTCTTAAAAAAAAAAAAAAGAGGATTTTGCTTCACAATATGTTGTAGTAATTTTTATTTATTTTCATAATCGAATCTTTGTGCGCTTGGAATAGGAAATGAACCAAGGTTATCCTAAGTGGTCTCTACAGAAGTTGGATATCTTGTAGATCATCCTCTCGAAAAGATTGAGGTTGAACAGTGGTGGTCGTTCGTAAAAAGAACTAGGGACAATAATTTTTTAATTGATAAATTAGAAACATATCTCATCCAGAACTTTCTCGGTCAAAAATAAATACGAACATTATAAAATTATTTTAGTTTAACGGAAGCATTTAGGCCTATATTAATCTTATAATCAACTGTAGTTTCATCTTTAAAAAAAATTAAAAATAGAATAAGTGGCCCATGCGAGTGGGCACTACGTGTGGGAAACAACGAATTAGCCGACTTAATACTTGGAAAATGCCGTTGCTTCTCTGGCCATCCAGGCAGTGGGGCATCCGCAGCCATTTATAAGCCTCATATAATTTTGGTAGTGGGACAACAAAAATTTAAACAATTGGGTAAATAATGCATTTCTTCCCAGCAGCCTTTAATTGGCCCCTTGAAGTATCACGGAAAAGAGATACGTCCCTCATTGTCCACCTACCGTTGACTGTTCGGTAAACTTGAACAAAATAATCAAGAAGTCAAAAGCTTTGCCTATGTATTTCAAATTAGTATGTAGTCCGTGCGATGCACGGGATGAAAAATTTAGAAGAATAATATAACCTCACGTGCATTAGGATCGAAATTGAAATCATTAAAATACATAAGAATATTGTTGAATCATAAAAAGTTCGGTAACAATCATATATTTTTAAAAACCTCCTTGTACACAACATTATGAGTTTGATTATTTGATAACTTCTCATTATCACAAACTAATATTTTCAAAAGAGACAAATCCTAAAAGTCACACTAATATTTTTGGTGAACAAACTAATATTTTAGGATTGATGAACAAACTAATATTTTAGGATTTCTAGAATTTGTCTCTTTTTGGTGAACAAACTAATATTTTAGGATTGGTTATATGAATAAGGCTACCTGTTTTTGGTGTTCTTTTCATTCATTTTCATTCAAACAATCCGATGACTTGTATAATGAAATCCGAATTTTAAGCCGAAATATTTAAAAAAAGAGTTTTTAAAAATTGAAAAATCAAGGCAATCAGTTCAGATTAATTAAAGGTCAAAGAATATCCGCTCCTTGAAATAAAGACGTGTGCTATCATTAACCAAATATCCAGTTATTGATATAAAGTGGTTACCAAAAAATAGAACGCGATAAGGACGCTTCATGGAAATATCAATGGGATAAGGTCATAACAGATCGCTATACATTTTAACGATAAAAGCTCAAATGGAATGATTTATGATAATTATGTCGTAATTAATGAATTAATTAGAAGTGTGAAAAGGACATAATTAATGAGAAGTGTGAAAAGGACATAATTAATGAGAAGTGTGAAAATGACATAATTAATGAGAAGTGTGAAAATGACAAAAACTTACCGATTTTGGAAAATATTTAATGCAAATCCGACATTGACCATAA